TTTTCTGTATCATTACAGTAGAGATTATATTATCAAACCTCAAAATATTAGCAATTCATTTAATTCAACTGTTTTAAAGATTTTTACATGTCATTATTTTAGGGAAAAATTTGTTTTGCAGTGAAAAACCAATGCATTGTTTAAAGCACATCTTTCCAGGTCACCTGATTCTGATTCTATGGGAGTCTAGCTTTCACTGCATTTGAATTATTTTACAAGTTGTAGATAAGTGATGCTAAAGCAAAATATTTCTTGTCTGTAAACATGTAAATAAATTCTCTTGGTTAAAGATTCAATCGGATTAATTGAATTATTCTTCCTTACTCCGGAAGAAGTCAGTTTTGCCTCCATTAGCATATTAATTTCAATATTCTTGATCTATAAATGTGTCTGTTCTTTGGAATGTCCTTTTATCTGGTTGTAGCATCTTAGTCCTTCATTAATAATTAATGCGTTCATTTTATATGTCTATGAAAGTCACGCTTTTCATTTTTTTCCGACTAGAGTGAAGTCCATAGGACTTGCATTATGTTTATATTTTGATAATAAAATACAAATGTATTCCTTATGTTGTACATAGTTTAACTTCTAAAATTAGAATCTCACGAACAGATGTGCATATAATTAGCATTTTGATATAAACTGGCCCAAACAACATCATTCAACGTTAAAATCAGTATTCTATTGTAAATTAAAAAATATATATTCTGGTCTCCATTTTCCTAAGAATTCTGGGAAATAATGGATTATCTAAAACTTGGCAGGTCTTCTGCAAAATGCTATATAGAAAAGATACATATGATTATGACAAGATCCTCCATTTGATGTGATGGATCTAATATTAATCAGGCCTGTGTGTCAGAGGCAATTGTATTCTATGTTCCATGCCCCCAAAAGTTTTAGGTGAGATGTAAAATGTGATTTGCCTTTAAACCACATATGCTCTGGAAGCACAGGAAAATAAAAGGATGGTGTTAAAGAAAAAAAATGTGTAAACAAAGTTACTTATTTATAAATACAAATATACATAGAGTTGTTTGTGAAGCTAGTAATATGATCACCTCCTTTTCCTCTTCCTGAGAAAATTAATGGAAATAGAAACAACTTGGGAGTATTTTGCATTGCCTATTTGATTCAAATCTGCCACTTAGTGGAAGTGTAATCTTCAGCAAGTGACTTAAGGTTTCGGAGTCTTGTTTTCATCATCAACACATGACAATATTAACACTTTAAAGCATTGTGAAAGTCAACGTAGCAATGTCTGCTAAAGTGCTTTGCCGTTGTAAAATGCATGGTAGAGATAGTTATGACCTTTCAGGAGTAATTCTAGCTGCCACGAGTAATTCTTGCTGTCTCTGAGGTGGAGCACGTTGCTTAGATTGAAGGCAGTGGGTGAGTTGCACTAACTTTAAGATGACTGTGGGCAGAGTTTTCAGGGAGGAGACTAAAATCTTGTTTCTTTTTTTTTCTCCAGGAAGACTGGCAAATATTTATGTGCTTCATTTGCCAATTTTTATTCCTTCCACTAGAGATGTCAGTTCTTAAATATTTTTCAGTGAATTTAGAATTATGAGAAATTCATGTGAATGTGAAGGCATATGCTTCTTGGGAAGTTCAGAAAGAGTGCATCAACTCTGGTGGCTGGATCAAATTCCATTATCTTGAATGAATTATTCTTAGAAATTTTTCTCTTAACATTTTTAAATGTCTGCCTAACAGGCTAGAGCAAGTGATTATTTTCCAAATACCTGGATGTCATTTTGAAGTATCTGTGTTTTGACCTGTCATGTTCAGAGACAGAAGAGCTCTGCTTCATATGCTATCTTTCAGGGTCTGAGACTTGATGCTTCTGTTTCCGCGTGATTGAGTGCAGGACAGAAGTTACACAGGGAGAAGTGATGAACCAGTGGGAATTTCAGATGTTTATTAACGTTTTTCATTTTGGGAGAAGAAGGGTTTAGTATAGTTTTTCCAGAATAGCTATGACACCCATATTTCAAAAGAGTTTATTACACCAAGCATGGATCTTTTTCATGGTTTGTTGTTTTGTTTATCTACCATACCGTTCCTTTTCATTTGGTTGACCATTGTGGATGGACAGATTTGGAGAAGGGGGCTTAAATCATTCATCTGGGGTGTCGTTCATTTGGATTTTATGGCAGTCACAAACTAAGGGCTCTCAGCCAAATCATGCTTTGTTTGGGAAACAGGGTGTTTTTAAGGAAATCATATCTGAATGCCTTGAGGTGGAATACATCCTCTCCGTTTTATACCCAGCTGTCTTATGAAATTATATTATATGCCTGACTCCTATAGGTATTTGAGTTTTTGGGTGCTTGACCTATAAAAACCAACAGGATTTTATCAGCAGTCTCTGTGGCTAACTTTGCTGCATTTTGGCAGGTGAAAGTTCTACATAATGGATAATAAAATCTCTCCAGAAAGTTGCTTCTTTAGGCTAGATGTAGTTCAACTTGCGAAACCTTCTGGGAATCAGCAACAGAGAGAAAGGCTACATCGTGGAGCCCTTTGAAATTGTAGCATCTACTATCTTCACCCTGTACTGCTTCGGAGCACCTGAAAGATGTGAGTGTGGTACAGTGAATGCAGCAGAAAATAAAGAAGGGAATAGCAGAAGTATGTTTAAATTATTATTTCTTCCTTCTTCTCTTAAACTAATAGAGTTTTTAAATGAGTCAAATACATATTTTAATTGATAAACTGACTTTATATTCACCTATTGGAAACAGTACAACATATTTTACATCAGATTATGAAATATGGATGTTTTACTAAAAGACAGGAAGGGCTTTATTCAGTCTTTAAAGTAAATACATATTCAAAGGATCTTAAGGCATACCATTTATTCATATTCATATCTATTGAAATACTGTACATCCACATACTTCAATAAATAGTTAAAAACCTGACCTCTTTTTAAATCATTTCTGAATTTCAAAAAACAATTTTTATTGAAAAGATTAAATAGGTAACTTTTGGCTGTCACAAAGCTAAGCACAATGGATAAATTAACAATTATTCAGTAAATTTGATCAATATAGATGATTGGCTTTGATAAATTTCTCAGAGTTTTCTGAGTTCACACATTGGGGTATTTATATATATATATATATGTATACATATATATATGTATACATATATATATATACATATATATATATGAAAATTTCTTTTTTGTCCTGAATTACCTGGGTAATTTTCTTAGTTCTCCAGTCTACTTTCTAGATATAGCTTGAATGTTATGATGAAGCATTAATTTTTCAGTTAAGTTTTTTAAACACCCCCAAAAGTGGTTTTAAGTTTGACATTCTCTCTCTCGAATCTTTTAGTGTTTCCCAAAAAACACAATACTATAATTTGGGCAGTACTTTTCATTATATAATTGCTGCATAATAGGAACTTAATGGTGTCACAGGACTTAGGTTTCGAATGGGATCATTGTAAAACATAATTACACCACTTGCAGTTAAACCAAGAATGCAAATGAATTAAGTCAACTACCCTAATGTTCTGTTCTTCCCTCTCTCCCTTTCTTCATCCCTCCCTTCCTTCCTTTTGCCCTTCCTTCCTTCCTCCTTTTTTCCCCCTCTCTCTATACCTCCACTCTTTTCTTTTTCTTTTCTTTCCACTCTCCTTCCTCAACTGCTCTTTATTTTTCTTTCTTAGAAAAAAAAAAACAAAAAACAAATCTGGGGGCAACAAAAGGAGTCCCACAAATGGAACTTGTGAAAATATAACGCTGAAATGAATAGCTAGGAAAAATTGTTTTAGATCAAAAGATAAATCAACTTCATAAAACTGCTATTCTGAAATTGCAACAATCTTGTACAGTCAGGACTGATAAAATGGAGTAATCAGACATTTCATATGTCTATAAATGTAAAATCATCTACTTGAACATTATATGCATACATTCACACAAAAAAGCAAATACTGTAGCCTTATTTGAACAATATTGAACTCATAAATACTCATGGTTTCACTCTGTTCAGGGGCCTAAGGACTAGGAATGCTGCTGTGATACAGAAAAACATAGTGAATACCTCCTCTCTTTAAAATGTCACTCAAGAAAGTCTCTTCTAACATAAAGGCAAATACATATAGCTACTGAGCTATGACTGTACTTCTGTCACATTCTATGGGAAAAACACCAGACTCCACAAATTCGGAATCATGACAACACTTTGAACTAATTATTTGGTTCATCCATAGTTTATACCTCAATTTACCTCACATTTACCCTACGAACCTTACAAAGAGGAGGTATTTTAAATTCTAGGAAAGCGGTCACTGTATAATATGCATTCTTGATCTGTTTCTTTCTCCCAAACAATGGTACTGATGGTTAACACTTCTGTGGTAGCACCACTATTTCTAGTAAGTAGATTATTATGGAGTGTGCCACTTTAAAGCTGCAATACAAAGAAATATATATAGTTTACTCACCAATTCCACAAAGAATATTTTTAAAAAGCAAATCAATAATAATCAAAATTAAAATGTCATGTGTGTTAAAAAAAGTTTTTAATACATCAGTCAAAATAATTTAATGAATTATTATAATGAGTAAATTTAATAGCATTATGCCATATTATTGCCATTTTGTGGAAACACTGTATATTTATGCCTCCTCATTTAGGATTCATTTTTTTCTAATTAAAATAGATTTATGGTGTACTTCAGGGCTAAGCTTTACTTGAAAAAAAATCATGATTTTCAAGCCATTTCTTTCAGGGCAAAATATTAGATATCTTAAGGATGTACACCCTCCATGAAATATCTTGTATCTAACTTTATTAGTAGTTTTTTTTTATGTTAATATGACTTGCAAAAGGGGACTATTTGCGGAAATCTCTCTATGTAGTGAAACTGGTAATTTCATCAAACTTGTAGAATGGCTTTCAAGGCTATGGTCTTTCTTTAGTAAAGAGTAAAACCATCAAAAAACTCTTGTAATATAATACTTTAGAGTAACACCATTTTCCTTCAAAAATGTAGTTTTCATTCCTTATGATAGAAACAAATATCCATGATAATTTAATAATTAATATATCTTAAGATATTCTAATCACTGGTGTCTTGTCTTCCTTTGATCACATCTTACATATATCATGTAAGAAGAAATAAAGTATGGTAATTTTGTTGTTGTTTGTTTTTTGGTCTTGCTTGTTTGAACTGACATGGCTACACAGAAAGATTTTATTGCAGAATTAGTTATTTCAGGGATTGATCTGTTGCATACCAGCATGGAATATTTGATACAATATATTTTGGAACATTTTCTTTTATACAGCATGCATTCCAAACTATCGGCTGAGTGATGTTTTCAGGTGGAAGATATGCGAAATGCCCCTGTCTGCAGGAGCCCTGTATCTATCACACCAACTTACCTGCCTCAGAGCCAAATGAATTTGGAGTGCTCACCAACTCATGTAATATTAGGTGATCAGACTTTGTGTTCTTTCTGACAAACCACCTTGAAAAGTTTGGCTTGGGATAGTGAAAGGAAAGGATGCTGTATTGCTAGGCAATTTCTCAGATGGACTGTCATCTCGAAGGGAATTATTTCCCAAACTGGATCCAACATCCAACCACAACTACAAGAATACATATGGTAATAAATTTACCTGCACTATGTTAATTGCATTGTTTTCATTACAAAACTGAGTTTATGTGGGGCAAAATCCTCACACCCCACTGGTAAGGAGAGATGAGATTTTTATAGTCTAACAGCTCCTTCTTTCTTTAGAGATAGGATATAGTTCAACTTTATCTTGTAGTTTATTTTTGCTTTCAAATTGTAGGATTTGGCAAAACATTTTTATTAGTCGGAGACAAAGAGAAAATTATTATTTTATATGAAGGCACACCCATGCTGAACTTATAGGGAAGAGAAGCAGAGCTGCACGGCCAATTATATTACAAGGCTCATTCCTGAAACCTGAATATCATGCGAGCAGAAAAATCTAGATACGTGTTAGTTATATTTTGAAGAAATGATCTGAAGGCAATATTATTTGCTTTTTTATCAAAAAAGAAAAAAAACTGCATCTTTGTAAGTGTGGATTGACTCCTATTGAAACAGGGAAATGAATGCTTGTATTGCAGCCTTAAAGAATCACATATTCACTGCAATATTCGTTTTTGTAAACTACAGCCTGCAACCTAGCAGACCATGACTGAATGCTTTTGAAAAGTTGTAGATTACAAACATGAAATCACAATTAATATCCTCTAAAAGTAATTTCAGAGCTTTCACGTCTTAAAAAAAGGACAATGTGTACTGCTTCACAAGGTAATGTAGCTAATCAAAAAAAGAGTAGAATTAAAGTATTTACATAATGAGCATTTCTACAGAAGGCGATCATCCCCATGTAAGCACGGCTGATTATATCCCACGCTGCTTTTAACAAACTGTACCAGATTGGATCCAGCCATCAGCACTTTCAGAGAATCCTTAAAAGCCTTTTATGGGTCTTTAAATTTATTGTAGAATGGCATTCTTCAGGTAGAATATGCTGGTGAAAGAGGACAGTGTCAACACAAGGTACCAGCAGGAGAAAAGAAGGTCAGCGCCCCCGGTAATTCCATACTGGGCTGTACTTGGAGCTGGAAAGAAATGGAAAAGATTAAATCAAAATCTAATTTGTGTCTTTCAGGATCTTAACAATAATCAAAAGGCAGCTGGCTGTATTGGGGAGAGCACTGGCGTTGGAGTCAGACAGACTTAGGTTCACATCTGGTTCTGCTACAGGACAACATGTGACCTATTCAACTAATCACTCTGAGCTTCAGTTTTCTCAAGTCAAGAGAAGAATAAGATAATCCACCTGGCAGGGCTGCAGTGAGAAGTGAAGACAAAGCACATGCAGCACATCGCACTGGGCTGGACACAGGCTAAGTGGTCAGTAAACAGCTGCTAACATTATTATTCCTTTCATACGTACTGTAAATATTTGGATTAGTGGATAATATGTAGTTCATGCATGTATTTGTTCACATTTATTTTTATTGAGATATATAATTGACCTACAACACTGTGTAAGTTGAAGGGGTACAACAGTGTTGATTTGCCACATTTCTGAATTGCAATACAATTATGACCACAGCATCAGCTACCGACTCTATCACATGCCATAATTATCATTTCTCTTCTGTGATGGAAACAATTAAAATCTAGTTTTGTAGCAACTTTGGAGGTTATAATACAGTATTGTTGTCTATAATCACTGTGCTATGCATTGGTTCTCCAGGAGTCATTTACCTACTAGTTCTAAGTTTGTACACTCAAACATCCCCCCGATTCCCCTCCCCCAGGCTCTGGTAACCACCATTTGCTCTGTTTTTACAAGTTCAGCTTTTTTAGATGTCACATACAAGTGATATCATATATAAATACATACATATATTTGTGGATCTTTTTTACTGGCCAAATACTGTACTAAATGCTGGGGAAAAAAAGAGATTCTCTCTTCCAAAATCTTTTTTTCGGGGGGGGGTTAAGTGAAGAAAGATATTCAAGCAATTATAATATAATCCAAGGAATATTAGATGTATAAACTGGAGTGACACAAAAAATTGTATATCTAAATCTGCCTGGGCAAGAGGGGGGATGATTTAACAGAGAGTTTTACCAAAGGGGACAGTCATTTGGGTAGAGGAAACAATTTACTCAAAGGTATGAGGAAAGGAGAGAGCATGGCCTATATTCTAGTAGATTAGTCTTGTTGGACCATGAAGTTTGAGGCTTGGAGTCAAGGGAATTGAAACTGGATCTCTAGGCAGATAAAACATGACCTCAACTATAAGGAAAAAGAATTTAGTTTTTTATACTGAAGGAAACTTTAAAGAATTTGGAGCTGTTGAATTTTATGATTACTTTTATACATGGGAAAGATCATAGTTTCATGTATAGAGAAGCTTATGTGGTACCTGGCCAACAGTCATGTTAACTTTTCACTGAGAGATTTCACCTAGAGATTTACCAAAGCTTGGAATATTTGGGGAGTCTACTGAATGGATTCCACTTCATTTCACAAGAGGACCATTGCCTCTTGGCATGTGAATTGTACTGTGTTCCAGAAGTTGAATGTTGCAGGCATTCTCAGCTTTGCTTGAGACCGATTCTCATTTACCACCATAAAAATAACAGTAATAATAAAAAACCCACCAACATACCTTTAACTACCCTTTCTTAATAAAACCTGGATTTCAAGCAGTGTTTCCTAATGGACAACGAATCGTGTAATAAAAAAAGTATACTACTTCACCCCCAAATCTATAACTCAACTCCAGGAGCAGTTTTAGTCACACGGAGTTTAAATTACCAGCAGGTAGATTTTAATGGCATTTTCACCAATGACTACATTTCCATATTACAAGAAGAATAAATTGCGTTGTTTATATCTCTAAGAAATTAAAGGGGATGAAAGATGCATTAACCTATGCAGTGAGAAGTTTCCTTGACAGTACGCTTGTTGATTCCAGGTAAATGAAGTTCAAGGGCTGAGACTACTACTCTTTAGTAAACACAGAGCAAAATCCACTATTTAACGCTTCCGTTTGCATCACAAATTAGTTTTTTAAAAAATGAGAAGATGATGAAGAAAAGAAATCTGTTGTTGAGCCCATAGCTTTTGAAGTTTTGATATATAAGAAGTCTAATTTAAAGCCATGAAACTCCTTATATTATTTTCTCTTGTTCAAGACCTAGAAAGGTGTTTTGTTTTTTAAAACATAAACATTCAATTGGTCTGTTACCTTCTCAATGACAGCTACTTAAGAGTTATTTTGCTGTTGTTTTTTAAGAATCTTGAATGCAATAAAACCAGTATAATAGTAAAGGACTAATAATAAACAAAGCATATAAAATGATTTCATAAATAAGAAATAGATCTTAAAAGCCAAGCATACAAAGCAAAGATAAAATTTTCATTATCATGACAAATTAAATAGTATATTAAGTGGGTAAAGTATAAAGAATCCTGAAAAGTCCTTATCCATCTTTTAAAGTGCAGTTTTGGGGCAATCTTTCCTGAATCCCCTCCCCTTTTCCAGCAAGCTGAGCAGGTTACCCTATTGTGTTATTAGGTCACCATATATATTCCTTTTTCTAGGACTATCATACTACATTGCAAATATTCATATACATATCTATTTTTCTCACCAGACTGTGAACTCTCCTAGATCATGTTTTATTTATCTCTGTGTTTCCATGCACTAAGAGTGGCAAAGTCTGGTGCATGGTAGATGCTCAAGAAATGTCTCTTGAATGAATGATTCAATTAAACAAATGAATGGGTCAGAGTTAAAAGGAGTATTTCTCTCCTACAAAATGGAATCTCTTCTGAAGCAAGTCACTTGCATAGAAGTAAGAGAATCTACAATACAGCATCTTTCATTCATTTATCAAATATTTATCGAATTAGGTACCAGGAACTGGGACTACACTACCTAATAAGATATGGATGGTCCTTTTGTTACTTAATTCCATATACCCTACCTCTTCCCCCAGTGCACCTTTATCTTCTACTCAGCCTCCTATTGTCTTAGACATGACAAACGTATGTCAATAATATATTTAAAATTAAGTAATACTTTTTAATTAAGATAGTGTATCTTTTTTCCATTGTACTCCTTAGTTGTTTGTAGATGCAATACTCTATTAGTCCTAAAATAATGTAGGAGCCTGTTGCTGCATCGTTAGCCTGCAATTATTATAGGAAATGGACTGTAGAATAGCTACTGATAATTAGTAAGCCAAAAAACAAAGAGTAAAGTTAGTGAAGGGAATTTTTGGTCAGATAACTAATGCTAAGTCATGTATCATGATTCATACTCCTTAGGTATATATTGAGCATCTTTCAAATGCTGGGGATGGAACACAGGCTAAGATGCATAAAACTCAATCTCCTCTCTTAGGAAAGTTTTATTATAGTTGGAGGTATAAATAAAAAGGCATATATGGAACATTAGGATATTTATAATTATAAGGAGAATGAACAAATATAAGGAATCAAGGCAGGTAAGTAGTCCAGACAGCAGATACAAATACAAGTATTTTTTTACAAAATGCAATGATATACACATGTTAGTACATATATATCTCACTTTTTAAAATGGTGGCATAGTAGTCCTTTTACTTGGGGTATCCTATTATTGTATAACTTTAGTCTGATTGTATAACCTTGACTGATACTTATTATGTATTTTTAGTGTGTGTGACTTGTTAACTGGGTGATTCAGAGCACCAGACTAAAGATACTAAAGTTAGGAGTCTCAGTACTATTTGGACCAATTAGATTTGTTTGGCATGTTAAATCTCAATCAGCTATTTAAGAAAATATAGAAAATGTTAAGAAATTAAGAAAATAACTGCTCACTATTAGATATTAGCTTGAAGGCTCAGTTCAAATATCATCCACTTTAAAAAGAGAAAAGAGTTTTTATAAAGTCCCACATGTCAAATCAGTTTGGAATATTTGATATATTTACATATCTATCGCATCATGTTTACATATCTGTCTTTCTCCATTAGGCCAAGAATATCTTCAAGCCAAGATTTTTATATATATCTTTTATCATTGTTGTTTATCATATCATACAGAGTCTGGTATTCAGTAAGTGTTCAATAAATATATGTTGAGTGATGATAAGGTTCATATCCATTTCCCATACTGTTACCATTAGCACATCAAGGGACACACACAATACCTTGACTTCTTTTTTCAGAAAAATATTGTCTTTCATCACACATTTCACTGCCTTCCTTTTCTCCCTACTTTTAGACTTATGACCTTCTAAGACGTGTATAGAGTCAGAATATCTCCCTTCAGCACTTGAGCAAGAAGACAGACCCTAAGGCTGATTATAAGGGGAATAATTGTAGCACCATGTTCTTGCAGCAAATGAAAGGGAGGGTAGATGAACCTATGCTCCCCAGATATAGTCCTAAATTTCTTAGGAAACATGCAGTGGTGCCTCTGGCATAGTCAGATCTGTTGTATACTCTCTGCCATGTTTTCTCCTGCCTGTGAATATCATACTGCTACTCATCCTAAATAAAATTAGGAGGGCTAAGGCATATGATCAGAGGTGCAGTGGAGCTATGGTGAGAATTTTTATTTGATTCTGAGTGATATGGGAATTCATAGGAGGGTTCTGAGCAGAGGAGGCTAGCTGACATTTTTAGTGATCACTTGGCTATTCTGTGGAAAATAGATCATACTAGTGGAGGCAAGAGTAGAAGCCTATGTTAATTCCAGACCATCAAGCATCTCCACTGTCTATTGAGGGAAGCCAAAGCACTGTAGCTCAGCATTCAGTTATCCTGTTATCTGGTTCTAGACAACTGATCCAGACTATACATACTCTTAGCTCCAGTCACACAGGCCATTTTCTGAACACACAGAGTATTTTCATTACTCCTTGTTATTTACATATGCCATATCTATAAGCTTAAATGGCCTTCCTTCCTGTTCCCCCTCTCTACCTACCAAAGTCCTACTCATCCTTAGATATCTAAAATACCACTTACTCCATGAGGCCCTCCTAATCTCTCTAAGAATTTTTAGTCCCCCATTTATATCGAACTTCAGAAATAGTTTCTT